ACGCGTGTGTGTGTGTGTGGGGGGGGGGGGGTTTCGGCGCTGGCTGGTGTTTGTTCTCTGGATGTGTGGTCTCATGCGTCATTGGTGCGAATTTCCTTCTTTTTTTTTCCTCTTGTACTTTACTTCCTCGTTAGTGCTAAGTAAAAGTTTTTTTTTTTTTTTTTTTCCTTGCCCAGACGGCTGCGCATTAATTTGGGCTGGGTGCTGGCGTTGTGGACCTCTCTGGAGTATAACGTAAGTTTCTGAACGACTGGAGAGTCCTCTGCGGAAGAGTGAACCGTTTCCCTCGCAGCTTCTTGATACCTTCTCGACCGCTCCCTCCGTCGTCCAGACCATCGTCAACGAGAGAAGTGCGACAAGGAATCCATCACACCCTCATCCGTACACGCTGCAGCGAAGGAGGGGCTATATACATTGTGTCTAACGTTTTCTTTTGGGGAAGTGTATTGTTGGCGTGGGATTAATTTTGGTGTAACGTTCTAAAATGACGGCCTTGTCGCTTGTGCTCCCCACTCTTGATCAGACTGCAGTGAGGTTTGGGTGTATGCACTCATGCAGTGTAGATGACGTGGAGGCGGCCGTGCAAAACGCCCATACCTGCCGGATGTTTCTCTTGGCGATGGAAGTGCTTCTACAGAAGCAATGGAGGCACTATCAGAGCCATGACAGCGGTATGTTTGCCACGCCACAGCGGATGAAGGAGGGGGAGCTTTTTCAGTATTTTCCGTTTCCGTGCGTGTCTATGAGAGGGCGTGGCAGCTGTTTCCAGAAGCAGCGTCGGACGTTGAGTGGAAGCAGTGCGGCAGGCAAGTTACGTGACTTTATTTACCGTCTTATTTGCTACGCGCGCTGTAGCATCGAGTGCTACCCGATTACGCTTGCACTTGTTGATCGCTTTTATGTGTCCCTGAGGAAGGAGTCCGTGGCGACCGAATACGAGGCAGCGGTGGATCACTTGCCGTATGTATTTGCTGTGCTGTTGTTAATCACAGCGAAGTACCGCGACGACAAGTTCCGGAGCAATCGTTACTTCAGTCAGCTAGCGGGGCTATCCTTGGTGGAGTGGAACGCGCTGGAGCGGCTCGCCATTCGTGTGTTGAAATTCAGCGTCAATGTTTCTTTCTTTGAGTACATTGCGTACGAAAAGCTGCTCCTTGCAGAGATGACGCGACAGGAAGGCAGAGTAAACGCCCTCACTTCACTTGACCGGGACCCTCGTTCAGAGGAGGTGATCAGTTTACTGCGGCTTGACAACAAAAGTGATGTTTTCATGGCGTGCGCCGATCAGGCGGCAGCAACCAACAGGGAGAACCCTAGTGCCAATTCTTGCGGTCTCACTGCAACGACACCATCATTGCGTTCTCAGGGCCCTCTTGCGTCTGCCTTGAGTTCACCGGTGTGTTGACGGCGGAACTCGTAGCTAACGCACTGGCGCTTGATTTTTGTTTTTCTGTTCGTGGATGCTGCACCATTTAAGCTTCTACCTATCTACCTATCTGTATACATGTATGTTTTTTGGGTTTGTAATGGAAGGTGAGTGCAGGTCATGTATGATCGCTTGAATCTTTTAACGACGTAGTTGACAGGCCTTGCTGCCAGAGTAACCCTGACCTTTATATGACCAATACGTATATATATATATATATACGTATATATACGCATATTTTGCGAGCGCGTTGGATAAGGTGATTTGGTGGCGTTTTTTTTTCTTTTAGTATATTTCTTTCTTTGGTGTATTTTTTTGTTTTTTTTTCTCCTTCTCCCCGTTGTCTTTTGCGTGAATAGTTTTGTGGGTTACTCAATCACCCTGCTTTGTTTGTATGCGTGCATTTTTTTTTGTTTTGTTTTTTTTTGTGTTGTTCTTGTTTCTATTTTACATCAGCTCCTGCACTCTTTGTTGGTCGCTAGGTATCTATCTATCGATCGATCCATCTATCTATATACATTGTAGATATATGGAGAGATATATTCTTTTTATGTTCAACTGCCCACTTTTTCGCACCGCATGCGCAGATGCGTACAGGTATCAATGATATGGGCATGCATGTATTTATCTACACCGCACGGGTCTGTACATGATGGCAACGACACAAACGTTGAAATATATATATAAAAGACGTACTTTTTTTTTTTCTTGCCTTGTGGTTTTTGTTTTTGTTTTTTGGCATTTTTGGCTACGCTCGTAATATATATAAATATATATTTATATATATCTGTGTGTGTGTGTCGCTCTTTTACACGCTTACAAATACACGTTTTCTCCCCCCCACACCTCCCCACGCACGGTCGTCACGAGCACCAGCCTCGTCCTTCCCCTCGCTTTGTGAGCGGCGTTGAAGGGCGGCAGGGTGAACAGTGCGACGTTGGCAAGCGGGAGGGAGGGCGCGAGTCGAGACTCAAACATAATTAGGATGGGCAGAATATAAATCATCAACAACAGACGATAATAAGCGAAGTCAAGAGTGGTATACAAACGAGTATCCCTCGGTTCTTGAGAGGTGATGCAGTCTTGCCCGTGCGACACACATAATGTGGCCATAATGTACCCCTTCTCTCCCCAAGGAAGGCGAAGTCAGGGGAAAGAGAGTTGCAAGTAGAGGCCTGAAGTAAAGAGGAAAACGGGAGGGGAGGGGAGAAATAGACTCGACACGAGAGGCATTTTTTTTTTTTTTTTTTATGCCTCGTCATTCCATGGCGGCCTACACGTGTGGTCTTTCCGCTTAGCGCTGCGGCATGGGAAAACTGAAGTGTGTGAAGATCAAATAAAGTGTCACCTAAGCGAACGGAGAAACACTAAGCATGATGAGTTTCTTTGGTGATATGTTTATGTCTTCGCACATCGTGGGAAGGAAACGCGGTGATGGTGCGGCAATGACGGAGTGAGTGGAGGAATGAGTACAAAAGAAAGACTGCGAAGGGCCATTGTGCGATGGCTTTTATTTTATGGTTTTTTTTTTATTTATTTCTTGCGCCATTTTTCACACCTCCCCCCCCCCTCCCCCCAAACTCCACACGGCGTGCCCGTCGCAGATTGGGGGGCGGGCTGTGGATTCACATTGTGCCAGTTGACGAGCAGCTGGACACGAACGACAGACAGAGAAGTGGCAGAAAACAAAGAAAACTAAAGAAAAAAGGGGGGAAAAACAAATGATGACTAAAAAAAAAAAGGCAGAAATTCACAAGAACAAAATGTTATGTAGCGCTCTTTCGTACCCATAACAACGCGGAAGGTTGCAATTTGGCTGTTTTTTTTTTTTTTGCAACCGGTTTGTTATGGTTATAAACATCTCAGTAATGTGGAACTAAAATATATATGGCGCATTCTTTGTGTGGATAGCTTTTTTTTTGTTTGACTTGCTTTTTTCCTTGCCCTCCTTTTTTCTCGTTTTTGTAGAGTGAAAGGTTCAAGCTTTTTTTCCGTTTTCTCCCTCGCACGCGTCTGTGTGCGTTGATGTTTTTTTTTTTGTGATTTTTTTTTCTGTGAGTTTTTTTCCCCCTCAATTCCCGCCTTCTCTTCCTCCTCCGTCGTGGCGGAGCACAAGCCCACTGTTTTGCAGGGCCTTTGCCCGCCCCACGCTATTCTCCTCGCCTGACACCCAAGACGCATATGGCGGTGGCCTGCTTTGGGGTTTCCTCGAAGCCATTAGTTTTTTTTTTAAAAAAAAAGAAAAACATGGAGAGTCATGCTGCAGAAGGTGGAACTGCGATGACGTTTCTGCGGCTTTGAGGTGAAAAGCACCAGCGTGCAAGAGTGTGGAGAGACGGAAGTGACAGATCTTCCGAGGGTGTGTGCGTGTGCGTGTGTTGCGCAATGATGAAACAAAACGGACGGGGAGTTGCAGAGTGAGTGACAGATAGAGGAGGAGGAAGTGGAGCGTGGGGGAATGAAAAAATTTAAAATAAAAAAAAAGCGTAATGTACTTTTACAATTGGATTTTTCTTTTCTTTTCTTTTTTCTTTCGTTTGCTGTTGGCCGATGTATATTTATTTATTTTACATACTTTTGCATCGTGTGATTGATGCCGCGTAGGGAAAATATGTGACATTCAACAAGAAGGGACTGGGGTGTTTTTTTTTTGTTGGCATGTTTTGTGTTTTTTTTCCCCTTTTGGGTTGACTCGTTAAGGACACATGCCTGCGTATATTATTTTTGTGCTGCAGCCCCCCCCCCCCCCCCCCCCCCGGTCCCCCTCCGGGGGTACTACTTGTTTTGTGGCACAATCAGCGAAAGGGACGGGGCACATGTGCGGCGACGTCGCTTTGTGTGAGTTGGTCTCACTTTTTCGGTGGGACGTTGGCCGTGAGAAAAACACAGACGAAGAGCCTCCTTCCCCTCACCTTTCGGTAGTGCAGAAACGAGACAGGTGACGAGTGTGAGCGCGTTGGAAGATGATGCGGATAAACACGGCGCACATTGCGAACCCGACAGAGACAGAGAGCTGCGGACTCACTGCCTTGTTTAATAGACATATACTGACGCTTGCCTGGTGTCTTTTAAAAATATCAATCCCCGTCAAGAGGCTTTTTCCCCCTTTCCTTATGCAGGATGAACGTAAGGCAAGAATTTTGAAGGAGAGCCGGGGACAGGAAGACCCGTTTGAAGCAATATGCTGCACACAGGGAGGGGTAGGCGCATAGTAGCAGTGATGTGAGCCTCTCTGTGCGGGGATCCGCTGGGGCATGAGATGTTTTTAGCCTTAAGCCTGCAGCGGCGCACCGTCATTCCCGGTCAGATTCCCACGAATGCCTCTTTGGGTGGTGGGCCGGCGTCCAGCACGCCCGGATGGGAGCTGCGACGCGGCCACCAATTGCATAGCAGCGTAGGTCTACATACCCCCTTTCCGACAGCTTGCGGCCGAACATTTAATCCGCAGCTTTACTACGAGGTTCTGCAGGCATGTTGCGATCAACACTGGCTGCAGGCTATTCAAAGGGAGTTGCGGAGTGATACGGAGTGGATGGAGACACTCAGTCGTGAGGGCGGAGTGGCAAAGACTATGAACGCCCTGACGGAGTCCACATATCATGACGATGAATTTATGATGAAGATGCAAGACATCCTTGAGACGGACAAGAAGATGTCTTTAAGGTTGTGCGCCATTCAGGAAGGCTACGAGCGTATTCGAAACGAGAGGGACATGCATGAGACACAAGTAGCAGCTGATGGCGGGAATGATCCGTACGCAACTATGCGAAAAAAGCAACAATGACAGTTTGGAAACAAATTTACCTCTTTTTAGAACGGCTCAGTTTTTTTGTTTTTGTTTTCTGTGCTGTTTCTTTACTCTTTTACTTTATTTGTTCGTTATGTACTGTCGTCCCGTTCCTTGTAGTCTTTTTTGCTTGGTCACGGCGTCTGATGGTGCGGTGGGAATGAGGAGAGGGACTTCAATTCACTATGGCCGCGAACTGGTTTATTTACCAGTTTCCCTGGAGCGGTAGTAGTAATCGTAGCATATGCATGTATGTTTGTATGTATATTTTATACGCCTTGTTACATGAGCTGTATTATTTAGTTGTTGTCGTTATTTTTCTCTTCCACTCTTTGTTCTCGCTGTTACCGCAGAGGTGTTGTAGAGGGGGGCCGCAGACTCAATATGAAGATAGCACCTCCAAATTTTGGATACGTGGAAGAGCGCATTTTTCGCTGTGGTGCACCAGAGCCGTGCCACTACACCTTTTTAGCCTCGCTGAAACTTCGCACGTGCGTGTTATTGACGGATAACCACGACGAGGCCTTTCTGCTTTGGCTTCGTGAAAACAACATACACACCGTTTGCCCACTTCACATTGACCCCAACGTATCTACATTGGGGGAAAAAATGGGGTGCATGGACTACCATTCTGGAAGCATGACCCTTTCGGAGCCAGTAGTTGTAGATATTCTGCATGTACTTCTCGATCCCAACAACTACCCGTTATTACTAACCTGCAGCGTAGGCCGGTATCGCACCGGCATCGTCTGTGGATGCCTCCGTAAGCTGCAGGGTTGGAGTTTGGTGTCCATCTTGGAGGAATACCGCAGGTATGCTCAGGATAAGGGGCGTGCCGAAAACGAGGAGTTTATTGAGCTTTTCGACAAGGATCTAGTCAACCTAGAGTTCAAGGAGGGCTGCAAGCCAACTATCCTATATTCCTTCGACGTTTAAGCCCCATTGAAGAGGAGTATGAGAAAGCTGAGGAGGAGGAGGGGGGGGGTAGGCGCCGTTGTTGTTGGAAGCGGTGCGTATTTTATGTGGAATTTTTTGTTTTTCCTCTCCCTCTAATATACACACACATATTGTTGCCATTATTGCCATTATTATCATCATTGTGTGTGGGTTGCCGTTTACACAACACGATTTCTCTCTTCCTCGCCCTCTCCCTCTCTCTCTCTCTCTC